CCGGGGAAGCCGGGGGAGGGGACGGGGGGGCACACCGGGCCGGGCTGGGCACGGAACCGGGATAAGACTAAATCTGGGCGCCTGCTAACGGGCGGGGCTCATAGGGTGCAGCGGGGAGACCCTCAGGCTGTGATGGACGTCCCCGGGAAGAGAGGAGAAAGCCTGTGATTGGGGACCGAGGAGGCGTGGCCTCTGTTAGCCAGAGTGACCACCTAGGACCGGGGCCGAACCCAGACCTACCACTCGGGGCGGGACCAGCATGTGAGGGCGTGCCCGAGGGGCGGGGCCTGGGGTGGGGACGCGGTGGGACCCAAGCCTGAGCGACTGCCCGCCTTCTGGGCTGGGCAGCTTGCGTCTGGGTCTCGGGGAAAGAATGAGCCCGCAGTGCGCAAGGCCCAATGGAGCCCCTGGGCTCCCGCAGAACCGGCTGGCTCTCCCGTTGTCTCTGAGGAGCGGTTCAACCTTCTCTCGACCCTGGATCTGAGGCAGGAGATGCGGTCCCCGCGAGTTTTCAAGAGCTTCCTGAGTATGTGCCAGGCTCGCCCGGATCCCCTCTCACCCTCCAGCCTCCCTCCCTGAATTCCAGTTCTTGTCGCTGAGACCCCGGTTCCCCGTTCTCGTCCGCGGCCCATGCCTGAGTCGACAGCCCCTTCTCTGAGCCCGGTCCACCTTCTCTGAGCCTGAACTCACTCTCTCTGCTCCCATCTAGTTCTCCTGCCCCGACCCTCTTCCTCTCTACCCCTCTCTAAGCCGTAGTCCCGTCGTCTCTGAACCCCCTCTCCTCTTCCCAGACCCACTTTTCCAGGTGCTGAGCGTGTTTTTATCCCTGCTAGGAGAGGTGCTGGTCACTGTGTACAGGTCAGAGGGAGGAAAGGGGGAGCCCCAGGGGCTGCTCTTGAGAGGAGGTGGGGAGCAGGCCCCACACGGCTGAGGTTTGAGCCAATTCAGACCTGGTTGAGCCGTGTTCGTAGGAGTTGCTGGATCTAAGAGCCTGGGGTGGGGGCTGTGGGGTTCACTAGGGTCCTGGGGCCTCAGCCTCCCTCCGGTTCTTCAGGGAAGTCTGTTCCATTCGCTTCCTGCTCACGGCGGTGTCACTGCTGAGCCTCTTTCTGACAGGTGAGGTGGTGAATTCCCTGGGGCCCCAGCCCTGGATGCTTTGGAGCCAAACCAGGCGCATTTTCTCCTATATCCTTCTGCCCCTTCAGCTCTCCGCAGTCTCCTTCAGAGCCCTGTAGTCCCCGCTCAGACTCAAACCCCTCAGCCTCTTCTTCATTGTCCTTTATACCAGAGAAACCCTCTTCCCCTCCCTTCCCCTGAGACCACCCCCCTCTTTCTCCAGCACTCTGGTGGGGTCTCCTGTACCTGGTCCCTCCTTTGGAGAGTGTGAGTCTGGGAAACGGTGTCCTGGGGTGGGTGGGTGGCGGGCTATGAAACTGGAGATTGTGGGGTGTCCCTTGGGCTGCTGGGAGGAGGGGACAGTGCTGGAAGGGCTGGATATAAATAGATTTCTGAGATTGTGTCCAGAGGTGCTTGAGGGTCTCTGAGGGGTCCTGGAAGGTCAGGGGAGGGGATGGCAGTCCTCAAAAGGAAGGCCCTTGGAGTCTGGCTGCTCTCAGACTGAAGTGGGACAAGGGGGTGGGTGGGAACTGAGCAGCGCTGTATTTTGTCCCTCCCTCCAATAGGAACCTGAGATGCTGACTATAAGGTGAAAGATGGCACCTGGGGTGTGGAATTGGGGGACTCAAAGGTGCTCCTGTGGAGGGGCTTACGGGAAGTGTCCCGGGAACAGGGAGCCAACCACACTGTGCCAACCTCCTGCCTGCAGCGAGTACCACGAGCGCGTGCGCACCCAGGGGCAGCAGCTGCAGCAGCTGCAGGCCGAGCTGGATCAACTCCACAAGGAGGTGTCCAGCGTTCGCGCAGCCAACAGCGAGGTGAGCCCTGCCGCATCCTGCTCTTACAGCCAGGACCCAGGGGTGTCTAAGAGCTCCGCCTGATGCACAGCCCCGTTCGCTGGGTCCTGAACCTTAAAGCCCTGCCCCAGAGCCCCAACTTCGTGATTTCTCTCGGGACCACAAAGTCCATACCAGACAACTATAAAACCAGCCCGCAAGCCCCGTCCTCCCTCTTTTCAGAGAGTGGCCAAGCTCGTATTCCAGAGGTTGAATGAGGACTTTGTTCGAAAACCCGACTATGCGCTGAGCTCTGTGGGTAAGACCCATGGACACTGAGAAACTGAGACACAGAGACACGGAAAGACGCAGACATTGACATAGACCTTTACAGATGACCGACCCTAGGAGTCCGACCTCCGACAGACCCTGACCCGGCTGTTGGTCCGGCCTGGGAGTCTGAGTGGTTGCTTCTCCCCTGTTCCAGGAGCCTCCATCGACTTAGAGAAGACATCCCGCGACTACGAGGACGCAAACAGCGCCTACTTCTGGAATCGCTTCAGCTTCTGGAACTATGCGCGGCCGCCCATGGTTATCCTGGAGGTGGGCCTGAACACGGATCCCGGAGCGGGACTGGGGGCGGGACGCTGGGGAACGAACCCAATAGCTCTCTGGAGGTGGGACCTAGCTGGGCGTGGCCTAGGCGGGGCTGACGGCCGGACCTGGCTTGGCTGAAGCTCCTTTTGCTGAAAACCTGGCAAGAGGTAGGGACTGGGGACTGGGGACTGGGGAAGGCTCTGTCTAAGCAGGTGCTCGGACTGGAGGTGGAGGTGGAGGACTGAGCCAGGCGGAAGCTGCCGTTGTGAACCCATGCTCAGGCTGGAGAAGGGCAAAGTCGCTCGGTCTTCGGATTCTGATCGACTGACTGTCCTGTCCGATTGCAGCCAGATGTGTTCCCTGGGAATTGCTGGGCTTTTGAGGGCGACCAGGGCCAGGTGGTGATCCGGCTGCCGGGTCGTGTGCAGCTGAGCGACATTACCCTGCAGCATCCTCCTCCCAGTGTGGCACACACCGGGGGGGCCAACAGCGCCCCCCGCGATTTCGCAGTCTATGTGAGTGGGACTGAGGCCAAGGAGGTGGGGGATTTTGCTTAGAAAGCACCAGGCACTCATGAAAACTGGTGCCAACGAGTCTTCACTTGTGCATCTATAAACTGGAGATACCATTTGCCTGTCAGGGCTGCCATAGGTTATAAGTCATTACAACCATATCCAAATACTAATTGTGGTTTAATGAGCGCTAACTCTGCTTTATCTCCTTGCATTTACACAACTTATGTTCCTTGTACAGATGAGAAAAGTAATGCTTAGAAAGGGGACCTTACTTGCCCAAGGTCACACAGTTAATTGGCCAGACTACAAATTGCAGCCAGGTTTCTCTGAGCCCACATTCCACGCTACACTGTCCCAACACCACAACATAAGAGCGAGCATGCATACAGCTACTAACACACACATAGTAGGTCCTCCAGTTGTTCTCCACCTGTGCCTCACTGTTCCTTCATTCACTCTTCATCTACCAGGGCCTCCAGGTTGATGATGAGACGGAAGTTTTCCTGGGGAAATTCACCTTCGACATGGAGAAATCTGAGATTCAGACTTTCCACCTACAGGTGTGTTTGTCTCTGAGGATGAGGGTGCCAAGAGAGTGGAACAGGGAGGGAAGATTAGGGAGGAAGGCAGTCCTTGGCACAATCCATTTGTCTTCCCAGAATGACCCCCCAACTGCCTTTCCCAAGGTGAAGATACAGATTCTAAGCAACTGGGGTCACCCCCATTTCACATGCTTGTATCGAGTCCGAGCCCATGGCATGAGAACCTCGGAGGAAGCAGAGGACAGTGCCACAGGGGGGCCCAATTAAACATGCTGATTGTTAAAATAGAGTGGAGGTCTGTGCTGAAAGAAGCTGGAGCTGGATCAGTGCTGGAGGGTCTGTTGGGAGCTCTGGTTGCCTTTGGTATATAAATATGATAGGGGGTCTACCTCCCAATGCAGCCTCTCTTTTCTTGGAGAAGTCCAGGTCAATATAGTAGTAGCAGCGCATATTTATGGATGTTTCCATGTAAAAGAGATGGTACTTTGGACATTACAAACATTATCTAACTAATCCTCACAACCACAGAGGGGAAGACCACTCAAGGTCATATACCTAGGGAGGAACAGCATCACAGAGGCACCCAAGCCCACCTTCCTCCAGAGGCCACCCTTTTACTGCAGAGCTGCCAGTCAGCCTGAAGCCATGCTGTGAACCTGTTCCCACTCCCAGCCTCTGGGAAAGCCTCCTTTCCTCAGGTAAACACTCAAAAACTGAGGCTTAAGAACTTCTAGGAAGCATCTAAGTCAGAGTTGATGCAGGCCTCGTAGTCCCTACTCAGGTTATCTTCACTGAAACCTCAGTGCCCAACTCAATACTAGGCACAGTACAGACGGTCTAGTGTTCACCAGTCTCTGCCCTCAAGAAGCCTGGTAGGAAAGAGAGGATGCTCCAGAAACGGCAATTCATTTACTGATCCAAGAATTCTTCATTAAAAAAGAATTAGAGGAATAAAGGATGGGGACAGTCATCAAAGGGTTAATGAGTTCTACCTGGACAGAGCAGAAAAGGGTGACCAGTATCAGCAAAGACACAGACAGCATCTTGGCTGTTAAAATCCTTCCCCGTGTGTTCATGTTTTGGAAGAATGTACGCACTATTAACAATGGTAACCCTCTAGGAAGTGGACTGGAGCACATATCCATCTGTTAATTTGGGGGGTATTTTGTAATTTGAAGACAAAGGAAAAAGGTTCTCTCAAATGGCCTCAAGCCTAAAATTAGAAATATGAACTCTCATACAGCTTTTCTGGAGGGCAGTTTCACAATAGGAACCAAAAGCCTTAAAATTTGTATACTCTTAATCACTGCAATTCCATCTTTATGGATCCAAAGGATACACAGATGTAATCAAAAATACTTTAAAAATATTTTTATTGATTTATAGAGAGGGAGAGGGAGAAAGAGAAACATCAATATGAGAGAGAAACATCAGTTGCCTCCTGTATGCACCCTGACCGGGACCAAACCCACAACTTGGGCATGTGCCCTGACCAGAAATAGAGAACCAGCAACCTCTCAGAGAACAGGACGATGCCCAAACAATTATTGAGTCACATTAGCCAGGGCCAAAGAAAATACTTTAAAAAATATTCATCACACTGTTTATAAAGAAAAAAACTCAAAATAGCATCTAAGAAGATAAATCATGTTACAAAAATTATATGTAGCCAATAGAAATGGTAATATAAGGTAATGTTATAGAAAGTAATTAATGATATATGACTAATTTCTTTAAAAGCAAGCTAGACTGCCCTGGCCATCATCCCAATCACCAAAAGGTTGTAGGTTCGATCCCTGGTCAGGGTGAAGGTGGGAGGCAACCAAGCGATATTTCTCTCACATCAATGTTTCTTTCTCTCCCTCCCTCCTTTCCTCCTCCCCTAAAATAAATAAATCATGCATATCCTTGGATAAGGATTTTTTAAAAAAAAAAGCAAACTAGACTGGCATACATAAAAAAATTTTAACTTCCATATGAAAAGAGTTCTATAAACCAAAAGATACTATACAGTAAACAAAGAGTGTCCTGGGAAGAAATATTTTCAACATGTAAAGAAAGAACTGAATAATGATAGAATAAAAGCTATAAAAACCTATAAATACGTGGCTTAGTTGGTTGAGTGTGGTCCAGTGCACCAAGAGGTTGCTGGTCAGGGCACATGCCAAGATTGCAGGCTCGATCCCAATAGGGGGCATGCAGAAGCAACGGATTGATGGTTCTCTCTCATTGATGTTTTTCTCTCCCTCTCTCTCTAAAAAAATCAATAAAAATATATTAAAAGACTAAAAGTACAAACCTATAAATAGGCTACCCATAAGAAATAAAGTTCATATGCCAAGGTACAAATTGATGTTTCTGTTTCTCTTCCTCTCTAAAATCAACGCATTTTAAAAAAAATAAAACTCACAAAAACATATGAAATAACTAACCTTCATAACTAAACTATTTTATATTATTATTATTGCCTTTCAGATAACAGAAGGGGTAAAACCCTTGCTATCGAGGGCAATTTACAATATTAAAAATTTAAAGAAATGTTTTTATTGGTATTTTAGAGAGAAGGGAGAGGGATAGACAGAGATAGAAACATTGATGAGAGAGAAACATCATGGATGGCTGCCTCCAGCATGCCCTCCACAGGGAATTGAGCCCACAATCCAGGCATGTGCCCTGACCGGGATTTGAACCTGTGGCCTCTTGGTTCCTGGGTCGATGCTCAACTGCTGAGCCATACTGGCTGGGCACAATATTAAATATTTAAATATACTGACTTAACATTTCCATTTCAAGGAACAAATCCTTCAGAAATGCCCCTGTAAATGCTGTTAAACAATTCAGGCTTGTGGCCTATTTTAGGACTAGAACTCCACTGCTCCCTCCCCAGGAGATCTAGCATAGCCCTTGCTCCATCTTAAAGCCCATCCCTCCCCTAATAATTTCCACCTTGTCCTGTGTTTCCAGCTCAGTTCCGCTCTGAGGCAGGCCAGGCTGGGTATTTGGTTTACATTCAATCTTTGTATTTTCAAAAACAGAGTCAGTGTCCCTAGATATCTGGGTAGAAATACCCTATTTCTTTGAGTGAGGCTATTATGTAAGAGGCATCCTTTATTCAATCCCTAACGTCAACAATAGGCTCAGAGAGAAGCAAACATGGCCAATAGCAGATTCCCACCCCAAAACACACAGAGTGGTTGACAAAGCAGTGGTCATCATTGATCTTTATTGAATGAGGGGCTCCAGGGGCAAAAAGGTACAATCAGGAGCAGCAATAGCAGGAGCAAATATAAAAGTATAAAATATAAAGTGCTAGCACTGAGGAGTGTGTGCAGGGGTGGGCGCTGGTGCATATGGACCTTGGGGACACAGGGCTGAGGACCAGCCACAACCTACCCTCCAGGAGAATCTAGGGCTGAGGGGCCTGTGCAGGATCCTTGGCTGGGAGTGGAAGCGGCTTGCAGGGGGCCCAACCTTGGGCCTTGAAGTAGGAGACCAGTTGTCCAGGTACTTCTGCAAGCACAGTCTGTGCCAATGCCTCCCGAGGAGCCTGCCCAGAGAAGAGGGGCAAGGTCAGTGGGGGCCCATAACAGCTTCCCAAGGCCTACATATTATACCCATAAAGGGATATAAAACCCAACACCCAACCCTGCCCCAGACTTAGATGAAAGGGTATCTCTAACCTCTTACATCAGGGAAAGGTAGAAGGGTAAACTCCCAGATCTGGTCTGTCCCCAAGCTTGACCCCACTCACATTCTGAAAGCGGCGGTAAGGCACAAACTGCACTATGTCACGGGCAGCTCCCTCCCCGGAACGTGTACGCAGGGGTCCACCATCAGCATCCAGCTGCTCCATTGCCTCGAAGTCAGCACCACCCACACCCACAATGATCACTGACATGGGCAGGTGAGAGGCACGAACTACAGCCTCACGTGTGGCCTCCACATCAGTCACAGCACCATCAGTTAGCAGCAACAGCACGAAGTATTGCTGGGGACAAGTGGATTCATATACTGAGTCAGACCTTTTAAACACCCCAGCCACACATTCCCACACTGACAAGAGCCCGCAAGGGAGCCACTGACTGAGACCATCCCACCACCACCACTAGTTCCCACAATCCTCACCGAGGCAGTCCTCTGATGTGCAGCCTGAGCTGCAAACCTGGCTACATGGTTGATGATGGGTGCAAAATTGGTGGGGCCATAGAGGCGAACTTGGGGCAGGGCTTGACGGTAGGCATCCACAATACCCTGGATACCTAGAGAAGAAGGGCAAAAAACACTATAAAATACTGGTACACTCGGGACTGAGCCAGGCCTGACATCACCCCATCCTGGGTGAGGAGATTTGGGAACCTGGTGCATTTTATTCAATCACCCTGGTAACCCAGGATACTTAACCTTATCCTACAAATGAGGAAAGTAAGGCCAAAGACAGGAGGGACACTTGCCCTATATCACAGCTTGAATTAAAACCCAGTTTAGGGGAATACCCTGAAAAATCCAAGGCAATTGAGCATTAAATGACAATTCAATAAGATAATGAATTACAATCCATTTAATAAAATATTAAATAATGAGAGATAAGGAAAAGCCCTTCCTTAATAAAAGTAGAAGGAAGAATTACAAAATAATTTGACAATCAGAACTAACTGATTCAGGTAAGGATCATCAATGGATGCTACAACTAGAAGGGGTAAAAGATGAGTAATTAGATATTTGTATTTGTATAAAAAGATACTTATTCATCACAAAGAGAAAAACAGTACTTGCACAGCGGGGAAACCTGGTAGACTCTACCTTAACCAAGTGATCAAAGTTAACATGACTGGTAATAGGATAAATCAACAACAACATGTGCCTCCTGATGTGGTGCACCAAGAAGAAAGCACAGCATCACTTCTGCAATATTCCCACCAAAAATGCATAATCTGAATCTAATTATGAAAAAATATCAGGTAAACCCAAACTGAGGGGCAATCTACAAATTATCTAGCCTGTAATCTTAAACAATGTCAATATCATGAAAGGCATGAACTCAGGAAGACAAAACAATTGAATGCAACATGTGACAAAAGGTTTTCTTTTACTGTAAAAGACAGAACAATTGAAGAGGGAGAGAAAAAAAAGATAGGAAAATTGGCAAAGTTTGAATAAATTCTATAGATTGGATAATAGTATTGAAGTTAATTTTCTGACTTTGAGAATAGTACTGTAGTTATGTAAGAGTGTCTTTGATTTTAGGAAACACACACTGAAGTATTTAGGGATAAAGGGCCATATGCATGATGATGGGCACCAATTTACTACAATTCTCAAACATTTCAGAAAAAAAAGTGTGTGAGTGTGTGTGTGTGTGTGTGTGTGTGTGTGTGTGTATATATATATATGTGTAT